TGATGCTGCCAGTCCGTCCATCTGGAAACAGGTTGTTCCAAACGCCTCTGAAAGTCCCCACACAGGGGTGAGAGCAAGTGCTCCTGTTTATGTGTGACAAGCCAGGGGCTCTGGGGCAGCTAAAAAGAGACTCCAGAGCTGTTGTTCTACAAAGCATCTCTCCCTCTCTCTCTATGAAAATACAGTGCACACCTCTTTCACAGCCAACTCCATGCGCTAACAAAAAGGGAAGGTTGGGACCACTTCCACAAAGCTTGCTACTCGAGCTAATATTACAGTCACATCTGTGGAAAAGGAACTCACCGTTTGACCAACATGGCAAGCCCTCCGGTGATTTCAGTAAGAACTCCAGATCCTGAGCAACGCAGTTTCTGGGGATAAAGACTTAGGAGGATTTAGAGTTAGGAGAGACTCGGTGCTCCCTTAATATTGTGTCCTGCTCAACCTGCAGTGCAAAAGGTGTCAAGAATCACAGAACTGGGATCTGAAGTGCCAGGTGAAGGTTCGCCAGCCCCAATCTTCTCGGCATCTCCTGGTAGCTCAGGAGGCCCTAGGAAGATCTCAGAAGCTTCCGTGGTTGATCGGGGTCAGAGGTTTCCTTTGCTCAGAAGTAGCTGAGCAGCAGCCAAGCATTTCAGCTTTTCAAGCCCTCCCTCTGGAGGGGTCTAGAACCAGCTGGGCCTCAGGATGTGCACCCAAGTCCTCTTTTTTCTTTCCTGCTCTGGTTCCCTGTTCAGCAGCTGGAGGTCACCTCCTTCTCCTGGGGAATCGCTCCAGTCCTCTCTTGCAGCCAAAGTTGATTGCATCGGGCAAACCAACTTGAATGCTTTTGGGCCAACCACATCTCTCTCCAAGAAGCAGCGGAAAGATAAACCCGGTTGCTTTTCCCAGAGGCCAGCCTCCTTTTTCCCCCCCTGGGGCTGAGGGGGACGTGGTGGTGTCTCCCCAGGCCTGGAGGAGGCATGCAACCCCTGGTACCAAGAAGGCGCATTATAGGAAGAAATCCCTCCCCTTTTGTTCATTGGAGAACACCTGCTGCAGATGTTGCTCTGAATATTGCAGCCAGGGCTGCTGCCATGAGAAAGGAGATGGTGTGGCATCACCAGGTTTTCGGGGGGGGGGGTTATACTCAAGTTCACACTGTGAACGCAAATATAGCATTATGTAAGTGTGTGTCATATCTTCCTCCAGCCCAAAATAAAGGCAGCAGTGCGACAGGAAAAGGAGGGTGTCCACAGCCCTTGCCTGCTTCGGTTGCTTTCCATTCAGCCTTGGCATTTGCCAGAAGTGTGAAAAGCCATTACTGAAAATCCAGCAGATGTTTTAATCAGTCTTATCTCTTGCCAATTTGCAGGGAAAGGAAATAAAACTGATAGGAAAGTTCATCATGGTTATCTCTAAATCGCTCCCCCAGGAGAGCCAGGCGCAGCTTCCTGGAATGGTTTCAGACGCAGCCTGGCAGAGAGGCTGGCTCTGCCTGGGTTCCCACCCCCGACCCCCAGGACTCGCTGACCGCAGGGTCTTTGTGGCCCTCCAAGTAGAAGGGGGGGGGGGCTGAGACCTTGCCCAAAGCAGAGAGGGAATGGAGGGGGTTCCCCCTCTTGGAAGCCCAGCTCCTTCTGTCCGAGGGAAGGGAGGGGCTGAAGAACAAGAGTTGCTTCCCTCCATTTTGCCTGGGCCAAGTTCCGGGACAGAGTCCCAAAAGGCCCCAGAGCCAAGTGAGCTGGGTGCAGAGGAGGGCTGGGCAAGATAGTGATAGCAATAGCAATAGCTCTAAGCAGTTCACAGAGTCAGCCTCTTTGCCTCCAACCGTCTGGCTCCTCATTTTACCCACCTCGGCAGGGTGGAGGGCTGAGTCAACCTTGAGCCCGTCAGGATCGAACTCCAGGCAGTGGGCAGAGTTTGCCTGCAATACTGCATTCCAACCACTGCGCCACCAGAGCTCATTCCTTGAAGGATGTGGAGACCTACAGCCTGTCCCACAGAGGGAAAACGGGAAGGAGAGGATGCCCATCTTCGAAGTCTAAAGCAGCGGTCCCCAACCTATCCAGTTTGGCAGACTAGCAGCGGGGGGAGGGGGGAGAGGGGATGGTTTTGTGTGAGTGGCAGGCATGCCCATGACCACACTCAACTCCATTTGTGCAAGGGGCAGGCGCGGGTGTCCGTCACTCGCAAAAATGAGGCTTCATGCACGAGCGCATGCGCCTGCTGCTCGTGCAAGTCCACTCACCCCCACTTGCATGGCGTGGTTCTGAACAGGTCGTGGCCTGGTAGTGGGATGTGGCCTGGGGGTTGGGGAGCCCTGGTCTAAAGGGTTGTCCCCAGGGCTGGGCTGCTGGGGGTTCGCAGGGGTTCGGGACAGCCCCTAGCTAAGATTCTGCGCAGTTCAGAGAACCTCCAAATCCCACTCCTGGCTGGCCCCGCCCACCCCTCCCCTCCCCTCCCCGGAGTCCCCACGCAGCCCGTTTTGGACGCAGGGAAGTGCAGGGGGCACGCTGAGGCTCAGGGAGGGCAAAAAATGGACCTTCCGGAAGTTTGGGAAGTCCAGAAATGGGCTCGTTTTCGCCCTCTTGGAGGCTCAAGGGAAGCCTCCGGAGCTATGAGGGCCTCTCCCTGCCATGGTGCAGGAGGCCGACTAGGCCACGCCTACCATGGCCACGCCCACCCAGCAACCGGGCAGAGAACCCTTTGCTAACATTTTGGAAGCCCATCCCTGGTTGTCCCATGGAGGAGGGCAGGACCAGAATCAGTGGAAGGAGATGCAGGTTAGCTCTTAGGAGGAATTCTTAGGAGAAGACAAAGGGTCATCGATCCCCCTCGCTGGAAGTCTTCAAACAGAGCCGGATCGCCTTCGATCTGAAATACTTTGGCAGGATCCTTCCTTGAAGAAGAGGTTGGGCTAGATTGAGATCTCTTCCCACTTTATGCTTCCGTGACTCAAATGTAGCTTTGGCCAGAATATTTGCTTCCTCCCACGAAAAGCGAAACACGCATCTTCATCTACCTATCAATTGCTGCAGGTTCTGCACGGCCTGGGAAGGTCCCCCAGGGTCCGAGGTGATTTGGCAACAAAATTCCCACGGGGAACCTCAAGGCACCGAATTCAAAGAAAACCCAGACAGGCTTCTGCTGGAGGGGGACTGAAGGGCAGAGCTCTTTGCCCTGCGGTCCGGGAAAGAGAAGGATGGCTGCAGGGCAGAACCCTCTGTAGGCTTCGTCTGAGCAGAGCAGGACCACCCATCAGCCGAGGGGCTCCTCAAGGCCCCTCTGCATAGCCCTCCCCAGAGGAGCTCCCCTTACTGCAGCCAGGTGGGCCCAGGGAGTGATGGGCTCTGCTTGGTTAAGTAGGTTTGCCCAGGGCCAAAATGCTGATGAGCGCTGATGAGTGGGGGGACTGAGAAAGAGGGCCATCTGGAGCAAGAGCCAACCACTGTGGGGTTCCCTGTGTTGCTTTTAGGAAAGGAGGCTAGAGTAATTGGACTGAGAATGAATGAATAAGTGAGTGGGTGGGTGATTGAATGAATGAATGAATGAATGAATGAATGAATGAATGAATGATGGAAGAAGCAACAACTAGCACTAGCACTGATAATATTACCTGGTTGGATAATGAAACATCTGCAAGAAAACCACCAAGCTCAGAGAGCACCAAGGATCCACCCCCCAATTTCCTGACCCTGAGCAACAAATATTCCCCTTTATTTGAGCAATGACTTGAATGCACCTCACTTTCTGAGAAGGTCAACTGCCCAACATCCCCACAAGGGGCCTCACAGGCCTCCCACAAATCCAGCCCCTGCAGAACAGCTTCTCCCCTCCACTCCAGCCGGCCCCCGACCCAGCCTGGATGCCATGGTGCTTCAAAAGGGCCCCAAGTGACCTGCTCTTCTTCTGCAAAGGTCAAGGGCTTTACACCACTCAAGGGACACATCTGTTTTTCAAATGGGCCCCTCCCCAATGTTTCTGACCTGTGGGGATGAAGGGGGTGGGGGAGTGCTGGAAGGGATGCCTAATGGTGAGGAAGCCCAATGGTGGGACTTCCTCTGATCTTCTAGCAAGAGAAGGTCACTGTATGGAGGGCAGAAGGGAGAAAACTGGATTTAAAAGAAGAACCAAGTCAGTCACACTGTGTTGGATTTCAATTACTTGAGGTTATTTCAGGATTACTTAGCCTTTACATTGTCAATTACTCAACGGGTGGAGTTGCAAACCTAGCGAGACCCCCTCACTACTGATCACAAGAGGGAGAGAGAGGGAGAAATCGGTCTCAGCTTTAGCTATTCCCTTCCAGCCTCCGTCCTTCCATCTCCTGACCATTTTGGCCACTATTAGGTGAGACATTTTCTGGAAAATGCTAATTGATCTGCACAGTCCAAAGGATGGAGAGGAACATATTCCATTCAACAATGGAATTTCCACCGTAAGATTAGCCTTGAGCTGTGTTTTTTATACCCTCCAAGCTGAGCCAAGGAAATTCCACAGGGCCCCCACCCAGTGGTGGGATTCAAATAATTTAACAACCGGTTCTCTGCCCCTCGTGATTTCTTCCAACAACCAGTTCACCAAACTGCTCAGAAAGTTAACAACCAATTCTTCTGAAGTGGTACAAACTGGCTGAATCCCATCACTGCCCCCATCCCAGCCCTAAATCCAACTGGAGCCTCATAAAGTACTTCAGAGCCCCATCAGCCTCCAGAGGTGCCGGTTTCGTTTGCAACAGGATGCAGAAGAAGAGGACAGACAGTCGGCAGCCCAACGGAGCAGCTCCGACGGCTGTTGCAGCAGCCAGACTCTTCTCCTCTAGGAATGAGGCAAGGGAGCCAGGAGGCCCAACTTGTTCCATTCAGGGAAAGGGCTCGGTGGGAAATCCACGGCCCTCCTGGGTCACCCCATCATAGCTTCTGCTGCCTATCCACAACTCTGGCCCTCCCGTGCTGTGAAGGTGGGGAGAAACCTGTGCCCTCCTCCCCAACCCCAGGGGAGCTGTCGGCGTCGCTTACCCCCTTGCAGATGGCCACGGCTTCTTTGCTCATGGATTTGGGATAGGCCACGTTGTGCTCCATGATCGACTGGAAGAGCTCATCTTCATCTTCTCCTTCAAAAGGCGCCTGTGGTAATCGGGGAGCAGAAGAGGAAGTGGCTTCAGAGGCACCCACACTCTTTTCTCTGGGAAGGGGGCTCTGGGGATGCTCCCCCCAAAGGCAAACACGCCGTCCTCCACAGCACAAGGCTGGATTACCTGCCCTGCCAACATCTCATAGAGCAAGACGCCGAAGGCCCACCAGTCCACCGATTTCCCATAGGGTTGATAGGCAATTATCTGAAAGACAACAGAAACCACATCACCATTATAGCAAAGGTCCCCAATCCCTGATGCACGGCCCGTTGGGAACAGGGCCACACAAGTGGTGGGTGAGCATCTGAAGCTTCATTTGCGCATGTACGGGGTTGAGAGTGGAACCTGTCCCCCCCTCCCACTGCATGCTACCATGTGCAGCTGCCGTTCCAGGCAACCAAAGAGGTTGGGGACCACTGCATTATAGGACTAAGTCCATAGCCTTCTGAGTCCCACAGCTATGTGGTAGCAGTGCTTGGATAGGAAATGTGGATAGGAGGGGAACCGTGTCCATCTACGGTGATCAAATATCTGAAGGAGCCTTTTTCTGACTAGCCCGTTTGATTAAAAGGCCACCGTTTTTCATGAGTTGCAGCTCCCAGTTCCAAGAAAGGCAAAGGAAGGCTGGTTGCTTGGGAGTCTTACACCATGGGAACCGATCCTCCACAAAGAAGGAGCTGCCGGTTTCTGAAAATGGCACATCGTCTTTCCACTGAGCATGATCCACCAGCACCTGCTCCCTTATCTCACTGTTTGCAGTCCTTATGCTACATATTTGTGGAATATTTATTATCTGACTTTCACAGCAAGTACCCACAGAAGGGAGTTTCCATGGAAATAGAATGACACAATCTACAAATAAAAGAATTCCACAAGAACAACAGGAGAGAACTATATAAATTTAACCAAATCTATACCTAACTTCCTCAAAGCAGTATTTCTCAGCCATGGGCATTATAAGACGTGTGGACTTCAATTCCCAGAATTCCCCAGTCAGCATGGCTGGCTGGGGAATTCTGGGAGTTGAAGTCCGCACATCTTAAAATGCCCACGGTTGAGAAACACCCCCTTAGAGCACCACCTCATTTCAAAGGATGAAAATGTCATTAGGCCAGCTTCCACTGCTCGCATAAGAGGAGGCCAAGGGTTCCCACTCAGGAGGAAAGGTGTCCTTGAAATAGGATGGACTGCAATGAGGAAGCCAACCGATCCTACAACTCTACAAGGCTTTACTGAAACTTAACTGGGCCAAAACAGAGAAGCCACAAATGCAAATCGTAAGAGCTTGTGGTTTCTCTCTGTGGTGCATTAAAGCCTTTTTCTTGAATGTTTGAATTTCATACATCTGTACACGGATTGAAGTGTGAGGTTAAATGTGCATGTAATATTCCAATATACCACTAGAGATAATCCTCGACTTACAGTAGTTCATTTAATGACCATTTGAAGTTTCAACAGCATGGAAAAAAGTGACTTATAGTAGATGAAGCTAGTAAGAAATAAATTAATGCTAATAAATTAGAATTAGTACCATTTGATAAAACCACCCCAGGAATACTGCATCCAGTTTTGGTCACCACATGACAAAAAAGAGGTTGAGACTTTGGAAAAAGTGCAGAGAAGGGCAACCAAGAGTAATTAACTGTTCCAGGAACTAAGTATGGCCAGTCTAAAGAAAAGAAGGACCAGGGGTGACATGATAGCAGTCTTCCAGTATTTTGAGGGGCTGCCACAAAGAAGAAGGGGTCAAATTATTCTCCAAAGCCCCTGAAGGCAGGAGAAAAAGCAACAGATAGAAAGTAATCAAGGAGAGAAGCAAACTGGAATTAAGGAGAAACTTCCTAACAATGAGGATAATTAAACCAGTGGAACTTGCCTTCAGAAGTTGTGGATGGTCCATCAGTGGAGGTTTTTAAGAAGAGACTGGACAGCCACTTGTCTGAAATGGTATAGGGTCCCCTGCTTGAGCATGGGTTGGACTAGAAGACCTCCAAGGTCCCTTCCTGCTCTATTAGGATTTTGAAATGTTCCTGGTAGACAGTCACCTGGTCCTCCAATGGCTTTGGGACCACCACCAATCTCTATTCTTTCTAGGGAAGTACAGCCCACTGAGTGTAGCAAACTTCCCAATTCTGTACCCAGGAATCTCCCAGGTACCTTGTCACGATCCACTTTCCGTGTTCTACATCCTGATACTAATTCAGAACATGCACCAATGGCTTCTCTTGGTTCGGATAATATACAGAAAAACAATCTTTTCAGCCTATGATAGTCACAAAAACTCTCTCTGCAGACGTTAAAACCGCACTGCAGGCTGGAGAGCGTTCTGTGGCATTCACAGCATTACTGCCCCCCAATCCAAAACTCTTTAAGATTATCCAGCATGACGCCATGGCTGTGGGGGTTAAAAGCCCCCCAAACCAAGCAGAATTAATAGAGAAAACATTCCATCGCTCTTCCGCAGAAGTTCATCCATCAGGGCAACCGTGGCAGATTTTGTCCCCAAACCCTGCCTGAATCCAGAGTCAGAAAAACGGATGTCTTCCCCAAGTGTCTAGAGCCACAAGGACAGCCCATTCTCAACCATCTTACCTCCTCCCCAAACTAATTGTGACTGGGTAGTAATTGGCAAAATTCTCTGGATCCAGGGAAGGCCTCTACAAGAATGAAATTATTATGGTCCCTCATTTAGGGCGAGTAGATTTTGGAATGTAGAGCTGGCCTTTGGGAAGAGTAGAAAAGATTATTCAGTTCTGAGAAACTGGAATTCTCAAGGCTCTTCTCCAATATCAACCTGTTAAAAGCATCAACGCCTTTTCTGTCTTGCTTCAAAGCCCAACTTTATATTTCATAGTGACAGAAATCTATTGCCTGAACAATTCTGTTCTTGATAGATACAGACCACCACTTCTGAATATAACAGAATAACAGTTGGAAGGGTGCTTAGAGGTCTTCTAGCCCAACCTCTGGCTCAAGCAGGAGACCCTATATACCATTCTGGACAAGTGCCTGGCCAGTCTCTTGTTAAAAACCTTCAGTGATGGAGTCCCCACAACTTCTGAGGACAAGCCTTTCATTGGGTTCTCACTGACAGGAAATTTCACCTTCATTCTAGGTTGCATCTCTCCTTGATAAGTTGTCGATCCTAAGACTGGCAGCTCTTCCTGCTTTATTTGTTTAATCCTCTAAGTCCGGGTCTCCAACCTTGGCAACTTTAAGCCTGGCGGACTTCAACTCCCAGAATTCCCTTGCTGGCTGGGGAGTTCTGGGGGTTGAAGTCCACCAGGCTTAAAGTTGCCACGATTGGAGACCCCTGCTCTAAGTCCCTTTTTTTCATTTTGCTCCTTGATTTTCATTATTGGGGCTTGTGAGTCCTTTCAATCTTCAGCTTTTCAGTGTAGCATCATTAACATAGCACATGTTATTGATTGTTCTTTGTCCAGTTTTAAAACCATGCTCATCTTCTTCCAAATCACATCCCTCGGTAAATACTCTGCTTAATATATGATTCTATTATGTTCCTTTCTGAGATATTTCTCATTCTGGGCTTTGGCTTCTCTTCCTGGCAATTTTCCTCCCCTGGTCTGCCCCCCAGTTTGCTTTCTTCTGTTTCTTGGTCTTTGGCAGTTTCACCATCATCCTTAACAACCTCTTTGATTATGTTCCACACTTTGTCTGGTTCTCTACAGTCCGTTCCAGATTAAGAACGTCCGGCTGAGGTCGAACCCCAAGATACGAGTGCGCTGCCAGTGACTAAAAATGGCGGACAGCTTTCTCTTGAGCCGGCGAAGCACTGAAGCCACACAAGGCTTCCAAGAACCAGGGAAGCTGCATTTTTCCAATAGGCAGCCTGTTTTCAGCAGTTTGTCAGCCCCAAGGAAGGACGAGGCCATCCCCTTTTATAGTAACAGGCATCCTGTCAACTTCGAAACGGATCAGGCCTGCCGCAGCCATCTTTCCGTTCCTCAGATTGCCACACAGTTGGGAGGGGGCAGAGGTTGGCATGTCAGGCCAGGCAATAACCACAGATCGTCGCATGGTGGGAACCAAGGTCACCTCCACAGGTGTCAGCCAGAGACTAGAAGGAGTTGCCAGGGAGATGCCAGAACACCCAATTGGACAGTGTGACTTGTGACAATGAGGGAGGGAACGATCTATTCTTTCATTGTACTGAAACCAGGGGAAATAGTTAGAGCTGGTTTTGTTTTCGTGAGTGCCGAAATGATGTACTCAATAAAACAGTTCGTCGAGAAAGCTGTTCGTCTTGGAGAGCTGAATTGGTGGGATTCATTAGTCGGAACCTTGACACGGTCCCTACGTAGGAGTGAGTTCCGGCTAAAATAGAAATCTGGGCTAAAGACAGAGTTAGGGGACTCTGTCCCTCTCTGGCCTGTATCTACGAGGTTCAGGACTTGAAAGAGATTCCCGATGAACTAAAACTGGAGGGTTCAAGATCCTATTGTGGGTCTTTGTTCTCGTCTTTGGCTTGACTTGGAACCTGCACATACAAGCATCTCTTCCCCAGCGATTCCCCCCTTCCCTCTCCACATCTCTTGGCTGTTACAACTGAGCTTTTCAATACCATTTCTGGGTGCTCAGCCTGGCGATCTCCGTGTCTGAAGGCGGCGTTTGGGTTGTTAGCAAAGCAGAAATTATGGGCTTGGCAGAGACTTCCAACTCTGCTATTCTGTTATCTCGCTTGCATCTTATTCCAGCTTGAACCTGACCGTCAAAATCATCAACCTCCTCCTCTTCCACCTCAGTGGATGGAGCATAAACTCAGATGATCGTCATGTCGAGGGGTTGTCCACGAAGTCTAATTGAGGTCATTCGATCCCCAATTTGCTCTCTCCTTCCTATGAAAGCAGCCCTGTCCCTCCTTCCTTTGCGGTGTCCCGAGGAGCAACCAGAACGCTCTTCTGACTGCCGGTGTCGAATTCTACTCCGTTTCAATTCAGTGATGCCTGTCAGTGTGTGGTTGTTTGATTTCATCTTTCATGCTGCTGAGCTTTCCCCTGCTCCTGCTCCTCGTCTTCTGTGTTCCCAGGTAGTTCTGGGGACTAGTTTTGCTTTCCTTTGGCTTTCCTTTTCCCGCCTTGCAACATCTGCACCTGGACCTCCCAAAGGCTTTAATCTGGCCCCATGGTGACCACCATAAACACTGCTGCTGCGCCAAAAGATCCTCAGCGCTTCCTCAGTGGCTGTCATTTAACACGAGGAGCCCATCATATGGCTCGTGGGGTGGTGGCGGTGGTTGCGGCCTGCTACTTAATGCAAACCATTACATAGTTTATTCATCTTAATTACATATTTCTATTCTAAAAAGATTCATGTATTCAAACATGAATGCAAATCACATGGTAATTGAAGTTAAATAGACAGAGACTCGATCAAGTTTATTGCCGGGAGAGAAGCTTCAGAAGTCTTCCTGACATCGCCAGTGCTCTGAAACGGGAACCAGTGATTCACAGGCAGCCTGGAGCAAGCTGGTCCTTCCCCCAAATGGCGGTTCTCCAGGCTTTGGCGGGGGGGGGGGGGGGGGGAAGAGCCTCCAGAGAAGGCCACGGAAGTCACTTTAGGCCTTGCTCATCACCCTTATCTGCTTTGCAGCTTTTCTAAACCATTTTGCATTAATTGTCTCATAAAACACCCTAAAGAGCAGAATTATGTCAAGAAGGCAGTCAAATGATATATGCAAAGCCGCTAAATCCAGGCAAGTATTTTAAAATAAAGGGTGCCACCTAAGTCCAGCAGCCCCCCCCCCCTCCCCTGCCCCTTTTTCCTTTCCCTGGCCATAATCCAACTTTTGAGCCCTCGGGTGCTTTTCTCCAGAAAGGAGGCGAGAGATCAGAGGGAAGATAAGCGGGGAAAAGCAGGAGGCCTTCCTCGGATTCTCCCTCAGTTACTGGCCTCACACAACACCCTGAGCCAGCTGAGTTGGCTGCATTCACGCCACATGCTACGCCTGCTCTGCTTTCGTTGGGAGAGATTTCTGTAGCTTTTTGAGTAATCCAGCTGGCTTCTCTTTGGGGTTCCTTCTGAGGCATGGGGACATCTGGCCAGTGGGGAGGCCAGGGTTAGTCTTCCGAAGAGCTCCCTGGTCTTGTGGTCCGTATTTGCCCAGCAGGAAGGTGCGTGTAAAGCAGGGGGGGTCAAACTCAAGGCCTGGAGGCAGATATGGAACAAGAAGAAGAACGTGGCCCAACCTGGGCATCTTTTAGAGGGCAGCTCCAGACCTCCTGGGATTGTAGCCAGGAGTAAGATTCAAAAATCCCAGCAACCGGTTTGCTGCCCAGTTGCTGGGTGGGTGTGGCCTACTGGAACTTCCGGGAGGGTTGTTTTTCACCTTCCCAAGGGTCCGGAGCCTTCCCTCGAGCCTCTGGAAGAGTGAAAACAGTCTCCCCCGACTCTGGAGGCCCTCTGGAAGTTGGAAACAGGCCTGTTTCCGGGCTTCTGGTACTTCCGGAAGGCTCATTTTCCCTCCTCCTAGAGCCTCCGCGCAGACCCTGCCTTTACTTGCATTGAAAATGGGCTGTGTGGAGACTCCTGGAAGGAGCAGGCTGGGGTAGGCAGGGCCAGCCGTTTGGTTCAAACACCAAACCAGATGCAAACCAGATGCAAATTTAACATCCAGTTCGCCCAAACCGGTCCAAACCGGTAAAATCTCCCACCCCTGATTGTAGCCCTGATGCAGCAGGAGGCATATGGAGTGGGGGAGGCTCTGTGGCCCCTTCATTAAACCTGAGATTTGCCAGAAAAGAACTTGGAGAGTAGACAGACAAACAGGTGTCTCTGCCTGCAGTTATACCAAAATAAGGTGGAATTTATTTTTTGCCTTCTCCATCGTCTCCAAGTGATGAGTCCATGTCCTATCTTTATTTTGCTAAAATTGCGGGGTGCAATTTCAGATCTTCCTCTTTCGTACATTGAAAAGCAAAATGTAAGAAAATGAGCATTTTGGGAGATGCAGCCATGTTGCCCAGCAAAGCACACGGCCAGTCCTTCTGTTCCAAAAGAGCATTAATCACCCTGGCAGGGCTCCCGTATTAATCTTGGCAGAACAAGGGAAAATAACACACATTAGGGATAGTAATTAAATGTCTCCCTGGGAAGGAAGGACACGCAAAATGGCTTAGCATCACTCGGAGAAGGAGCAGAACTATTTTCCTTGACTCAGATGTTCATACAGCTTTCATACAGATCTCACCAAAGTGATTTTTCTTATTGCCCATTTCTCTCCCTTGGAGGACAAGCACCAGCAACAATGGACTTTTAATTAAGGTTCCAACCAATATTTACTCACTTAAGCATCTTCACCCTGGCTAAAAAATTAATCCCAATTAATCACAGCATGGCCCATGCGTGCAATGTGCATGCATGCAGCAAGTAGACAGCCTGGAAGGCCAAGCATTGAGGGATTGTGTATCCACCTCCGTTACTGTTGAATAAATAAGCAGCAGCGACCTCTCCGTCTAAGGCGCAGCCATGCCACACCACAGCATTCTTTGGGCTTCACTAAGAGGCTCTTCAAAGGCCTGAACTGAATTCACCAAATCTCATTGGCTTCTATCAGCTTCTCTGCCCAGCAATCGGTTGGCAAAAGTGCTCGCTCTCTTTCTTCAGCCATTTCCTTGCCTCCCGCTTACTCACATATCTGACACACGCAATGGCACGTAAGCCAGTTCTTGCCCCGTGGGCAGAGTCCTAGACTCTGTGAGGCTGGAAGTGTGATTTTTTTTTCTTTACCAAAACTAACCTCCATTTCACATTATGCAGATTTGGGACCTCTCACCAGTTGGAGCCTTTGCTGAGAAGTAGCAACAAAAGTTTGTAAGACAGAGACAGGGAGATGCCTGTGGCTCACCTCGGGAGCAATGTAGTCGGGCGTGCCACAGAAAGTCTTGGTGGTGACTCCATCCCAGATATTCTCTTTGCACATGCCAAAATCAGCAATTTTGATGTGGCCCTCGGAGTCCAGCATCACGTTGTCAAGTTTCAGGTCTCTGGAGAGAGAGAGAGAGAGAGAAAGGGAGGGAGGGAGGGAGGGAGGGAGGGAGGGAGAGAGAGAGAGGGAGAGGGAAGAAAGAGAGCGAGAGAAGAGAGAAAGAGTGAGAGTGAGAGAGAGAAAGAGAGAAAGAGAGAAAAGAGAGAAAAGAGAGAAAAGAGAGAGAGAAAGAGGGATGGAGAGAGAGAGAGAAAAGAAAAAGAGAGAGAATGAGAGACAGAGGAAGTGTGAGAAAGACATCCCTGCGATCAGACCTTGAAGCTGAAATATGAAGCTTCAGCTCTATTCAGAAATGTATTCCATTGAGTGATATTTAGTTGGAAGTCGAATATAGGTAGTCCTTGACTTATGACCACTGGGACCAGAATTTCCATTGCAAAGCAGTTGTTGAATGAGTTGCGGCCAGTTTTTATGACCTTTTTGCCATTACTCCCTTTGCCTTTTTGCCACCGTTGTTAAGTGGATCAAGCATCTCCATGGTCACCTGAACAAAATTCAGGGCCTTGGCAACTGGCACGTATCTATGTTGGTCACAGTATCCGATGGCCATGTGGTCAACATCTGCGAGCTCCACAGCTGGATTCTGACGAGAAAAAGTCCATGACTTCTCTCCAAACTTACTTAAAGACTACCGGATTCACTTAGCAACTGTGGCAAAAAAAGGTGGTAAAATTAGATGTGGCTCACTTTAACAATCACCACGCTAGCAATGGACGTTCTGATTGTAGTCATAAGTCAAGGACTACCTACATTGTTTGATGATGGCTGAGGGGGTGAGTGGCAGGCAAATGGTGGAAACAGGAGAATAAGTAGGGAATCATAGGCATTCAGAGATGCGTTTCCATAATTTTTTTTGGTCTTCTGTTGAAGCTTCTATCCCAGGGCAGTAGCTCTTTTGAATTCTACTGTATAGTACACTGAAGATGGTATTTAATTTCATTGTACAATGTGCAATGACAATAAAGTAAACTAAACTGAACTGAACTAAACTAAACTGAACTGAAGGGAAGTATGGAAAAGCCCAAGGCCCAGTCCTGTTCCTCTGAGCCTTCCCTGCCCTGGATGCCCAGGCCTTATCTAGCGAGCGAAGCCAGAAACAGGCCCATTTCTGGCCTTCCCAAACTTCTAGGAGGCGCGTTTTTCACCCTCCCCGAGCCTCCGTGTGCACCTTGCACTTACCTGCATCCAAAACGGGCTGCGTGGGGACTCCTGGGAGGGGTGGGCGGGGCCAGCCAAGAGTAGGATTTGGGGGTCCTCTGAACTGCACAGAATCTAAGCTAGGGGCTCTCCCGGACCCCTGCGAACCCCCAGCAGCCCACCCCTGCTCCAGATGCTTCCCAGGTGCCAGGCTACAGGGAGCAGAGCAGACGAGCCCCAAGAGTCCCTGGCTTGCCAATCCCCCCTCTTTGGCTCATCGGTCTGCTTGTGTCTCATCAAGGCCACCGAAGAATGGGATGCCAAGGGAAGGGTGCCTCCAAGCCCTTCCACTGATCAAGACAACCCCAGTGGTGCTGCCCAGAGGAGGAAGGCTTTGGCTGGCAGTGGGTGTGGGCCACAGCAGAGCCCGGGGACTGTGAGGGCAAAGGTTGGGAAGTCATAGAGAGGAAAAGTGCCCACCTACCGATAAATGATCCCTTTGCAGTGCAGGAAGAAAAGGCCCATGGCGATCTCGGCTGCATAGAACCTGCCAGTCAAGAAAGGAGAGTAATGGAGAGGCCAGGAGGTGCCACCTCGGCCCCGGAACAGGAGGTTGACAGAAATCCTCTCTCTCTCTCACACACACACCCCCTCTGCCCTGGCACTGCCCTGGAGAGGCGGTGGGGACTTACACAGCGTGGGGCTCCTTGAATCGCCCAACCTGTTGGATCTGGTACATGAGGTCACCACCGTTGACGTACTCCATCACAAAATACAAGCGGTCCTGGGAGCAAAAGGGAGAAATAACGGTGGAGGATGCTGAACCAAAGTCCAAAGAAGCCAGCCAGAGCATCATGCCGAGCCTCTTGGGTGCCCTGCAAGCAACATTCTCTTCTCCCTTGGGAAGGCCCTGTGGGGCCTGGACCTCGAAGTCAAGGCCGCGGCTGCAGCTGTGCGATTGGAGCATGTGCCACGCATGTCAAAAGCGAGCACAGCTTTGATTGTGGCCCTCGCCTTGCCTCTGGTGACCTCCTCCTGCAGCCTCTCCTGTTTCCTGACTTTGCAGCCCACAGGAAGGAGCCCCCACGTCCTGTGGGATGCCATTCCGTGCGGCTGAGCCAAAGAAGTCGGGAGGACAGGTCCTCACCAGGACACCATCACTCTGTGGCAGCCTCTGCAATAGACAATTTAAATCCTGATGAAAGGAAGGATTTGGTTGCCTTTTTGGTATTAAAAAGTAAAAAAAAAATCCCTTTGACTTCCTTTTGTGGGATTAGACATATTGCAGGAAAGCACAGCTGGTACGAGAGAAGAGGGGAAGGAGTGGGGGGGGGAGGGAGATGAGGACTTAAGTGGTGGGGGGAGGGAGATGAGGGAACCTTTCTAGATTAGAGGAGAGACACGGCAAAGCGGGAAGGGTGGATTTGGGGTTTGAGTTGTCTTTTAATTGGCCACCCTGAGCTCCTTGGCTCAGAGCCACCGTGGAGGGGATCAGGCCAAGGTTGTGTCCTGTAGGAATTTGCTTCCAAAGCAAGAGAGGCAGTGCCTTTGGGCCTGGTGGAGGCAGGGGCATCTACCCCTGGGGGTGGAGACAAAAAAGTCCAGGTGGCAGTCGCAACCATGCCACCAAAACCCTGCCCTGCCCTGCCCAGACAGCCAGAACAACGAATCAGTGGAAGGGCTTATCTTCGGAAGAGGCAGGAGCTCCAACAGTGGAGGTTTTCAAGAAAAGATTGGGCAACCATTTGACTGGGATGGCATAGAATAAGGGTATCCAACCTTGGGATTGTGGACTCCAATCCCCAGAATTCCCCAGTCAGCTATGTGGCTCCACAAGTCTTCAAGTTCCAAAGTTGAAGAGCCCTGGTCTAGGGTCTCCTGCTAGAGCAGGGGCTGGGACCCCAAGGTCCCGTCCAACTCCGTTACTTTGTTCTTCTGACCCCCTTTTTACACCAACTGCACATCACACGCATGTACACATGGAGCGGATGCCACGTGGCTGCAGGTACCACTTTAACGCCACCCTCCCACGGATGCCTTCAATGCTTAGGAGCCTCATCCAGAAACTCAGCCGGTGGCATCTCACAGACCCCTGGCATCTGTGGATCAGCTGGCAGCCTCTCAGGCTCCCGAAATATTGAAATATTAACCAATTGGTTAACCTCCCCCCCCCCCATACCCCCCCCCCCCCCCCCGCTGAGATGGGGAGAAGGTTCCTCTGCTACAACCTGTGATTATGTCCCTGGTCCGATTAGTGCTAAGCGCCGGGCAGGTCTGCACCTTCTAATCCTCTGCCAACACACTTCAGATTTCAGAAAGAGGCCAGGCGATGCAGATCTCAGCACGGCGGCCTTTCATCACCAAGATGGGAGAGTTCTGGCAGCTGACAGTGGGCTTTGCCAACTCCAAGGGCTGGGCTGATGTCTTGGGTAATCCTCTAAGCCTCCATTGTTGCCATCCAAGAGCTGCTGCCAAGGAGGGGCTGCTCTCCGCAAGCGGCCCCTCTGCTTTTATTAGCCGCCAGCTGGAAACGGCCGGAGAGGAAGCGCTTTGCACCTGGTGACCTTTGCTGCGTGGAGAACGGCTCGCTGCCTTGAGCCAGAGGTGGGGAAGCTCCTCCTTCGTGCCCTTTGCAGCCCCACCATTTCCTGCTGCCAACATCCAGCGTGTTAAATCGCAGCATTGCAGTAGCAAAGTTGGCTGCTTTGGGGGCGAAAAGGATCCCCCAAACTTAAATCACTTCTCCCGCCCAAATTGGGAAGGCTTCCGCCCCTCACTATGCAGACTCTCTGCTTCTCCCAAGGTCACTGCACCCTGATGCCTCCTGCTTTTGTAATCGTTTTACAAAAACATGGCCCATCTTCTGCAGGGAAGGTGTCAGCCTCCAAGAATCCTGGCTGTCTGCTTTCTCCTGCTCCACTTTATCGTGGTGGTTTTATACCTGTTGGCTGACGTTCTTTGAAAAAGGCGCCGTGAGGCAGGTTGGCAGATGAGTCACTTCCTTGCACTCCTGTTGGGCATATATAGAGCAGCCTTTCTCAACCTCAGCAACTTGTAAGATGTGTGGACTTCAATTCCCAGAATTCCCCAGCGATCTGTGGAAGTCCACATGTCTGAGAGTTGCTGGGGTTGAAAAACAATGATGTATAGAGAATAGGAAAGAAGACGGAAAGTAATCGAGGCTAACTGAAATGCAGAATAGAATTCATATCTGCAGATCACTCCATCCCTTCCCCCTGCCCCCATCCCTTGAGCCCCCTGCCCCCCCTGGCTTAGCCAGCCAGTGAAATTAGGCTGTTGGGATCAGGTAGGACTGCGGCTGTTAATCTGGCCTCCCTGCATAGGGTCCTTGGGGCTGGTGGGCTGGTGCTGAAGATCTTCAAACAAAGGGAATAGACAACTTTAATCAACTTCTCTGGAAACGGGTTCCAAGATGGCTCCAGAGTTCATGGCCACCATGTTCTAGCCTAGAAGGTTATGGGGCCAACTCAACACCATAGCGGCCCCTCATTAGACTTTTTGGATCTTGGGACAGTGAGGATATGATCCGCGATTGGGTAATATCAATCTCTTGATATGGTCATTCCATTAGTTTGACAGGAGCTTAGAGCCACCTCTGGAGCTCTGATGTATGGCTTGCCTGAGATCCTTCTCCCAGCAGGAGGGAATTCCCCTGGCTTTGGATCAAGTTGCATCTGTGTGTTTCTCTTTCTTGGCAGATCTAGTTGGGTTCCCTGGAGAAGGTTGAAGAAAAGATGGTTGGCTTACAGCTACAGGGGATGTGGGATGAAATGGACTATTTGGACCTCTCTTCAGATCACTGAGACAGTGATCCTCACGTTTTTAGATGACCTTTAGACTGGAGCGGAGGTAGTGCATCCATCTTAGCCTTTCTTTATCTTTCAGTGCCTTGATGATGGACCACCTTTGAAGTTTAGGAGTGGGAGTTTTACTTTATATTATTTCTCCTCCTTTCTCCATGGCCTAAAGCTCCACTCTCTCTGGGCTAATTGAACACCTACGTAAAGGCACTGAGCAGCGTCATCAGATAACACCATGCCAATAATACCCACTTATGCATCTTTAGCCTAGGCTGAGTAAATGAGACCATCAAGATTCCCTCCGTGTCTGGAAATTCTGGGTGTGGAAAAGAAGCATTCAGCTCAGCCTAACAAGACAGAGTTGCTGTGGGCTTTAGGACCCTGTGTGGGTGCTCTCCACCTTTGGTCATGGATGGGGTCACCATCCCTTCCACAGAACCGTTGTGTAACTGGAGCCTTCTTATACTTTTGGATCCTTTGTGCCCCACTTGTTCTTTTTTCTGAATTGGGAGTCCCTGACTGGTCCACTATGGTGAACCAAGATTATATGCGCTCATTTGGCCTTCCTGCCTTCTGTTGTCTTAAACTATCCACCATATCCAGTTATGCAGGGTTAATCCCCTTCCTTTTGGCCAGGAAACATGTCCTTTCTTTCTACCAGGGGTTTCTCGCTTCACCAGGACCTCCTACTCTGTACTTTTACTTTTCTCTCTTTCCTGACAGTCTTCCTTCCGTCCTTCCCTTATGTTTGCTGCTTCTTCTGTGTCCATCCTCAACCTCCCTGCTGCTGAACAGCCCCCATTGTCCAATCTCCAGAAGGCTTATCATTCTTGCTCATGTGACTCCCGTTTCTGCCAATGTCTTCTTTGGTCTTCACACCCTACACAAGGCAATTCTGAGCATCCAGGTTAAATTTCCAGCACAAGGAACACCCTCAAGGGGACAAGATTCTCAACTCAATTGGGGAACTTTTGCAGGGTGCAGGATGGAGGGCTGTGGGGGAGCTTACCATGGTTTGGAAGCAAGAATGAAGCTGTGTGAGGAAGGGGGGCTTTCCAGCCAGGGCCAGCACTCGCTTCTCCACCATGGTACATTCCACATCGTCATCTTGGATGACCACGTCCTTCTTCAGAATCTTTACGGCATAAAGTTCATCTGTTCCTTTCCTTTCCGAAAGCATCACCTGGAATCAGACAAAATAAGGTGTAAATGAGGATTCTGCCTGTTCATACACATAAGTTCAAGGCCCCAGGACCCCACTGTTTAGTCAGTCCCCAAGAGTCTATGACAATTCATCACGGCCAACTTGCCATGGCCAACTCATCACGCCCAAACTGCCACTGCCAACTCGCTGCAGGACAAGAGTTACACTAATATCAAAGAAATGGTGGAATAGAATCATTAAAAAAAGGACAAAATGAAATGTGAACAGCAAAAGGTTAAAATATATTTTTTATTTTAAATAATTAAATAGAATTGTTAAATTGTCCCACAGCAATTTGTCCCGTGGCGAGTTGTCCATGGTGAATTGGCTGCAGCGACTTGGCTGGAGCAAGTTGTCCCATTCCGTTTCCCAAGGAGGAAGCTGAGCAGGTTTGACAGCAGTCATAATCTGAATGAATGTTACTCGTGAACAAGCAAGAACAAGTGCAAAGAGGTATAGATTACATCTTGGAGAATAGCCCATCCCTTCCCCTGGCCCCACACTTCTGGTTTCAACAGACATAGAGAAACACTCATTCCTTGACCTGTGACCTACCCAAGAACACCTTTGAGCTGACCTGATGCTGAGAAGTCTCCACAAATGGAATGCAGGTTTTCCCACATAACCCTTTTTACACAGTGGCACAACCTGTGACTATTAATCTAATAGAAGAAGACAACCTGAATCCTGCCCAATGACATCCAAGCAGGAGGCTCAGGGGACCCCTCTCCAATCTGTCCATCCTCTGTGGTGGACTCATGGGCTGAGATCCAAGATTATAATGAGGATGATGATAATTTATTAAATTTATTATAGCTGCCCACTCCAGAAGACTGGAGACCTTTTTTCAAAGAGCAATGAATGTGATAGGAATGCTGTATTGTGTTTTTTTTTTACATTTTGTATGAGCAATTGCCTTCTCGTGGTGTGTGTGTGTGTGTGTGCGTGTGTGTGTTCCCTTTTCTTCAGTATTCTATAATTTGAGCAATAGCTTGAAATACTACAACCCCCAAATGATAAATGAAGGTATATGACACCCTCTCCCCACAAATAAAACAAATGATTTAACTTGTGTCAAGGTTGTGTAATAAATAACAATTGCACTTACTCTTAATCACTGAATATTTATTTCAAACACTTGCACACACCCTTGCAGCCTGATTGACAGCTCAAGAACTCCTAATTTAGAGAACTGGAACTATTAGTTTAACAAACCTTATTTCTCATTAAATCTTCTTTCCTGTCATTGCTAACCTTTGTGATTCAGGATTAGTTGCTGAAATTTATCAAGTTCTACTTGGCTTCCTCCTTATTTCTCTGGTGCCGGGCCAGAGGAATCGAGTTAAGGACTCTCTACCTGGTCAAAATGTGGAAGAAGTTCAGCTTAATTATATTTCACTGGGCAAACTTTAAAAGAGGAATCTGCCAAGAATCAATGTCAGGTCTTCAGCTGCTTCGTTTTGTTGGCAATGGGGAGGGAAGGAATTTGGGGAAGCTTGGGCTAGTGAGAAGATGATGAATTAAAGGGGGGAGGGAAATAGGAACCAGAGGTGTCAAACTGGAACAAACCAGCCACCAAGGACACCTGGCCTGGTAACCGAATGTGAACTACTTTGAGAAGTACCCAGCTTCAAAACGGTCCCCAAAACATCGAACTGGGATGCTGTTGGATACTGTTGAACTGGTCAAGGGGGGTGGGGAGGGTCAGGGAAAGGGGGAAATTGTAACCTTTCGTGCAGGAACACACAGATCCAGCCTTACTTTTGCTGCAACCACTTGTCTTTAGTAAAGAACCAATCACTTCAACGAAACGGAGTCGAGAGTCTTTCTTCCCAAAGGATCTAAGTTGGGGCAGGTCTGACAATCAGGATATTGCAGCAATCTACCCTTCTGCTTTGCTTAGATGCCATGGCTGTCCCTTCACTCATCCTGGCAGCAGAAGCCATGCTCCGGTTTCTAGGCATTTAGTTCATGCTGGCCTGGTCTTTCTGAGACATATGAATGGAGCCTCACTTAGCTGCCCTAATCTAGCTCCCTTTGGCATGGAGGAGAGCCCTTCTTCACATGGCCAAGCCCATGGATCTGATGTGAGACATGGATGGCACTGCTTTGGCATATAGGTGCAGTGGTGATCTGTGTAGGTCCTGCAAGTTCCTTGGAGATCATCTGAAGCTCTGTTTATCTGCTGCCCTTCAGACACCTTTGCCTCACAACCACCCCATGAGAGGACCTTCGCAGAAGGATGGCTAAACTGAGATCTCCGAAGGAGGCCCCTGACTGAGGAAGGCCAGGGATCAGATCCTTTACCTATTAATGAATCAATAAGTGCTCCCAGATCAACTGTAACTCAGGTGAGGCCCCCATATCCCTGAAGGTAAGGTAAAGGGTCCCCTGCCACATCCATGCCAGTCGTTTCCGGCTCTAGGGGGCGGTGCTCATCTTCGTTTCAAAGCTGAAGAGCCAGCGCTGTCCAAAGACGTCTCCGTGGTCATGTGGCCAGCAGGACTAAATGTTGAAGGCTCATGGAACGCTGTTCCCTTCCCACCAAAGGGGTCCCTATTTTTCTACTTGCATTTTCACATGCTTTTGAACTGCTAGGTTGGCAGAAGCTGGGACAAGGAACAGGGGCTCACTCCGTCACATGGCGCTAGGGATTCGAACCGCCAAACTGCCAACCTTTCTGACTGACAAACTCAGCGCCTTAGCCACTGAGCCACCGCATCCCATACCCCTGAAATTAGATGGCAAAATGGCCCATTTTGGCAGGACAATTTTCACTTGCTTTAGAGGTGTAACAAAGGATGGGAAAGCAAACAAGAGGTCACCATGACCAAAGGTCTCCATTTTGACTCTTAATTCCTCTTAAACAAGTGAAAAAAGGATGAAGCTATTCAGCCCTTCCAGCCCCATTCCCATTAAGAGCCATGGTGGAGCAGTGGTTACAACGCAGTACTGCAGGCTCCTTCTGCTGACTTCTGGCTGCCAGCAGTTCGGCAGTTCAATCCTGACCGGCTTAAGGTTGACTCCGAGGTGGGTAAAATGAGGACCCAGATTGTTGGGGGCAAGAGGCAGACTCTGTAAACCACTTAGAGAGGCCTGTAAAAGCACAGTGAAGTGGTATATAAGTCTGTTATTGCTAAGGAAGGAGGGAGGAAGGAAGGAAGGAAGGAAGAAGAAGGAAGGAAGCCATGTTGGTGCAGTGATTAGAGTGCAGTATTGCAGACTGACTCTGCCCACAGCCAGCAGTTTGAATTTCACCAGGCTCAAGGTTGACTCAGCCTTCCGTCCTCCTGAAGTGGGTCAAATGAGGACCCAGATTGTTGGGGGCCAGAGGCCGACTCTGTAAGCTGTTTAGAGAGGCCTTTAAAAGCACTGTGAAGTGGTATAGAAGTCTAACGGCTATTGCCATTCAGAGGGCTGTACAGTCCAGCAATTGGTCAGGAGGCTGAACTGGGCCCCACAACCAGGGCACAATTCAGCCTCCCGACCCGTTGCCTATCCTATCCTTCCTTGCAGTATATTTACCCTCATTCAGTCTCAGCTCTTTGCTGTTGTTAAATGCATGATACTCCCATCATTCTGCAGAGGGGGGGGAGGGGGGAGGGGGGGAGGGAGGGAGGGAGAGAGAGAGAGAGAGAGAGAGAGAGAGAGAGAGAGAGAGAGAGAGGAGGCCCTGTGGAGCAAATATCCATATCTTATTGGGAATCCCAACCTGGGTTTCCTCTTGAAGATGCAGCTTGATAAGAAGGTGTTTTTGTGGCCCAGAGGCTGCATGGAGATCCATAGGCATGCTTCATAAACTATTCACGAGGCCTCGAAGGCTTATGCGAAGGCAAACACAGCACCTTTGTCTTCTACATTAAAGTAGAAGTTGCAAAACTATTGTTGCAAAAGCATGTGGCTACTTTAATTGTCTCTGCCTGTCCTACAAGATCCAGCAGGATGAGAACATAGAATAACAGAGTTGGAAGGGATCTTGGAGGTCTTCTAGTCCAACCCGCTGCTCAAGCAGGAGATCTTCTATCATTACAGACAAACGGCTGTCCAGTCTCTTCTTAAAAGCCTCCAGTGACCCACAACTTCTGAAGGCAAGCCATTCTATTGATTAATTATTCTGTCAAGAAAATTCTCCTTAGTTCTAGGTTGCTTAGTTGGTTGGTTAGTTTCCATCTGGTTTTTCTTATCTTGCCTTCTGGTGCTTTGGAAAATTGGTTGACCCCCCTCTTTTTTGTGGCAGCCCCCCAAATATTGGGATACTTCTATCATGTCTCCCCTAGTCCTTCTTTTCACTAGACATTCCCAATTCCTGTAACTGTTCTTCATATGTTTTAGACTCCAGACCTTTAATCATCTTAGCAGCTCTTCTTTGCACTTTCCCCAAAGTCTCGTCCTACTTTTTACATTGTGGTGACCAAAACTGGATGCCGTATTCCAGATGTGGTCTAACTAAGGCATTGTAAAGAGATACTAATATTTCAAGTGATCCTATCCCTCTGTTTATGAAACCTCGGATTGCATTGGCTTTTTTGGCTGCTGCCATACACTGTTGGCTCATATTTAAGTGATTCTCCACTAGGACTCCAAGATTCCTCTCACTGGTTACTGGTACTGAGCCAAGTTCCACCCAGTCTGTACCTGTACAAATTTTTTTTCTTTCCTATGTGTACAACCTTACTTTTCTCTATGATGAATTTCATTTGTATAAGGTAGGGTCCGGTATTCCAGTCCGTTGAGATCCATCTTCTGGGGTGTTGGCTATTTCTGCCAGCTTAGTGTTGACTGCAAATTTGATGAGTTTTGGGCAGTGGTGGGATTCAAAGATTTTTACTACCGTTTCTGCGGGCATGCCTTGGTGGGTGTGGCATTGCTTGGTGCGTGTGGCAGGGGAAGAAGGATACTGCAAAATCCCATTCTCTCCCCACCCCATTAACCTGCTTTCCAGCTCCGTTCTCCTGTGCAGGGCAACCAAAGAAGACCCA